TCTCCAGGATATAACACAATGTCGTTCTCATAATAAAGGCTAATAAATATTTATTGGCCAAAATGTGCTCAGGTCTCTATGTATCTCAGAGGAAAAGGGAAAAAAAAGTCTTTGCAGTGAAGATTCCTTTTATAGGACCAGCACAAAGAGGGTGACTCCTACCCACAAAAACCTGAACCAACCTTATCTACAATGCCTTGGAGATGTTCCCAGTTCTCTGAACTAGGTCGTCAGTGGATGAACCTGATAACCTCAGAGGGAGATGCAATCAAATCTCAATCAAAAGCTCATGTTCAAATGGGTGGTGCAGTGGATAGAGTACTGGCCCTAGGGTCAGGAGGACCAGAGTTCAAAGCTGGCCTCAGACACATAACACTCACTAGCTGTGTGACTCTGGACAAATTACTTAACCCCAATTGCTTCACCAAAAAAAAAAAAACCCAACCCAAAATACCAAAAGCTTAAGTCAACCAGAGAATGCTCTTGATCAAACTTCTATAGACAAATAGTCTGTCTCTTAAAAAGTAAGGTTGTCTAGGTCATTCTGCATCATTTCCCCAGAGACAGCCTAGTTAGAAACTGGGCTGGCGGCATCATCTGTTTCCACTCTAAAAGACAAAGTGGAATTTTATGGGAAAGTCTAGATGTTAGTGCCTACCATGCTACCTTACATAACTCATTGTTGTTGTTGTTTTTGTTATTTAATAGTATTTTTTTTCAATTACATGTAAAGACAATTTTGAAAGATTTTGAGTTCCAAATTTTTCTCCCTTGCTCCCTCCCTTTCCCCCTTCCCAACATGGGAAGCAATCTGATATAGGTTATACAATACAATCATATAAAACGTATTTCCACATTAGTCATGCTATGAAAGAAGAAACAGAATGAAAGGAAAAAACCATGGGAAAAAAATTTAAAAGTGACTATAGTATACATCAATCAGCATTCTAACTCCATTTGTTCTTTCTCTGCATGTGGATAGCATTTTCTATCATGAGTCTTATGGAATTGTCTTCAATCATTGTACTGCTGAGAAGAGCAATATTAATCATAGCTGATCCTTGCACAATGTTACTGTTACTGTGCACAGTGTTCTCCTGGTTCTGCTCACTTCACTCAGCATCAGTTCATGTAAAGTCTTTCCAGGTTTTTCTGAAATCCTCCTGCTCTTCATTTCTACAGGAGTCATCCAGTGGCAATGACTATGCCTAATGACCAATTAGTAGGAAGAATCTCATAGTTTCTCTACATTGTGTTTGAACTCCTCAGCAATAATGGAAGGATCACATTTTCATTTGCCAATGAATTACTCTGTTCAGAGTGGTTGGGCGAGTTACTTTCAGTTCTTTTATCTCAGTTTCTTTCTCTGTAAAATGAAGCATGCAGAAATACCTGTTCTGCCTTCCTCAAAAAGTTGTTATAACAATGAAATGAAATATTGTAGGGTCAAAGTGCCTCTGAAAATATAAAGTATTGTAGGTGGGGGATGGGAGATGGGGGATTTTACTATCAGTCGTTCCTGCAACAATATTAAGCCCTCACAATGTGTCTAAAACTAAATTAGTTGCCATGTGGAATCAGAAAACAGGGAAAAGACACAGTCTTTATGTTCCAATGATTTACATTATAGCAGGGAAGCCAAGGCATACAGACATTTATCAACTATAGAATGAACACGAGGGTGTGATAATGGAATCCAAGCTGTATATGGGAGTGACTTGTGAGGGCTGGAGTAAAGTTAGGCAAGGAAAGCTCTTTAGAAGGGATAGAGTTCTGAGTTAATTCTTGGAATAGTCAATGGTTTCTGGGATCCTAAATAGCAATCCTTATCTATACTTTTTAAATAGGATAGGGTGGTTTTCAATAAAAAAAAAAACACCCTGGACCTGGGGCCAGATGACCTGGCTCTGCTACTTCTCCCTCTGTGATCTTTCCTCTCTCAGGATCTCAGTTTCTTTATTTATAAAATGAAGGGGTTGGAATACATAATCTCTAAGTCTCTTCTAAATCTCATAATTCTATGAAACAAAGGAATGATTATGAAGCCTGGTGAGCACGGTTTAAAGCAACAAGGAAATTATCCTTGTTGCAGAATTTCATAGCCAAATTCCAAGTCCTAACTTTGAATATTTTGTCCTGAATTAAATTTGACTCCTACTCTTTCACATCTAAGGCAACAGAGTGTGCCCAACAGCCCTTCCCAGACTACCTTCACTGACTCTGCAGGGTACATTTTCAAAGCAGAGTATTATATGCTCCTCTAAGGTGACTTACTCAGTGAAATCCTTTGACTCAACAGAACCTCAAGCCTTAAATATCATGCCATCCTGACTAGAAATGTATGCTTTTGAATATCATATCACAAGGGAAGCCATTTTCACACAAAGGCCTTTTAAAACTCCCAACTCCTATCTGGAGGATAACTGAAATTTTAGGCAAATGCTATCTACCATTGAGATTAAGGACTGTGTGAAAATGCAGAGTCTTCATGGGGCCTATCCATTATAAGTGCTTTCCCTGAAATGGAACTGAGAAGATATTTCAGAAAACATCTTGGAGTCCATTAGTTGGTTTAAAAGTAATTTTGCAATACTTATTCTTCTCTGCTCAAAGACATTTAAAGAAAGCTCTTAGATGAATACATTAGTCAGTTAAGATTATAGAGCAGATCACTGCCAATCATTTCTGTGCAAAGTTATGAATCCTCTTCTTTTTTTAAAATAAAGTTTGAATGGGTGTAAGTATCTTTTTGCAAAATGGAATTTTCCATCTTAAGTTCCACCAGAGCAATGATCTAATGGTAGGATGGTTCCAAGTAAGCCACTCTCCCTGTCCTATCATAGGGATCTTTAACACTATGGTACCAGAGAATGAGGATGAGAGAGTATAGAAACAGCAGAGAGTTAGGGCAAAAGAATGGGGAGGTTGGCTGCCCTGGGTATTGTGGGATTTGCTATACAACAACCTTCCCCATGTGGAGTTATTGTGATATGGGGGTATATTCACAGAGGTAGGGCTTGTGGCCTGGTTGTTAGTACCATACACTAAGCATGTACCAGTATAGAATAAACAATGATCAAAGCTAAAAGATCAGATTCTAAATTGTGGGGCTGGTTGTGACGAGGATGGGATCTAGACCCCAAAAAGGAAAAACCCCGAACTTTCCCTCATGACCAAATTTCTGGCATTCTCCTGAGGCTATAACTCCATACCTCCCTATGGCCCCAGGCCACTTCCCACCCTTAATCCTGTCTAGGCTGTATTGTCCCTTGGCTGCCCCTGGAGTTCTATTACCTCATAGACTACTTGACCCCTCCTAGGTCCCTCCCATAGTCTTTCTGCATATAAGGTCCATCTTGTCTCCATTAAGAGGCTTAGATTCTTATAATCTAGCCACTGCTTACTCATGTTCAGGCTCCTTAAGAGTCTGCCCAATATGGCAGATGTTCTAATAAACTTTGTCTTTGGCTGAAAGAAGGCTTGGGTCAAATTCTTTCAGGCAGGACTGGTGTGTTGTGATTTTGGAGTCCCAGGACCCCTGAACCCCTAAATCACATCAGTTGGACTTGCCTTGGGTTTTCAGATTCCTAAGGAGAGCTCTTGGGAGGCACCAGCCATTCCAATCTTTTCCATACAACATTACCTACTCTCTCTGCTTTAAAGATCTGTAATATAATATATCAATTGTTATAGAATATACATGTTTACAGTTTTAAAGATGGAAATTTTTAGACCTATTAGACTTCAAGTTTTTATAAATTAAGCTCAGTAAATATTTGTTGATGTGATCCATTTGTTTATTTTGTTATAAAATGTATGTTATGTTATGTACTCTGCTCAAGGGAGTTGTGAGTTCATCAGTTTGGATGGTCAACAAATGAAATAATATTTGTAAAGCACTCAGCACAGTGTCTGGCACACAGTAGGTGCTTAATAAATGCTTGTTCCCTCCCTCTCTCCTAGGCCAGGTAGGTGGGACAGGAAGAACTGAATTCAAATCCTGCTCTAGGCATTTACTAGCTGTGTGATTTTTAGGTAGGTTCTTAACCTTTCTCAGCTTGTGTCCTCATCTATAAATGAGACAGTGATACCTCCTGGGGTTGTTAGGTAGAGGAAATGTGCAAAACAGTTTGCAAACTTTAAAGCACTATTTAAATGTTAATTGTGATGATGTAATGATGACAATGACCATGATGATAATGTTCCCTCCACTGAGGCAGCTCATAACCCAGCCATACCCCCACATCCTGTGTCCCCTATGTCCTTATCTTCTCATAAGTTGCCGTCACAATGTATTGGGTATGTCTTCCTTACTTTCTTATATCATCAAGCAGCTATGTGGCACAGTAAAAGTTAGGCCTGCCATCAGGAAGACTTGAGTTAAAATCTGGCCTCAGATACAGTATTAGCTGTGTGACCCTGGGCAAGTCACTTAAGCTCTGTTTTCCTCAACGGTAAAATGTGGATAATAATAATAGCACCTCCCTCTCAGGGTATTTGCAAGGATCAAATGAGATAATAATTATAAAGCTCTGAGTTACAGTGCCTGGCACATAGTAGGCACTATATATATATATATATATATATATATATATATATATATATATATATATATATGTACATATATGCCAGCTATAATTACAATCATGAGTTTGCCAGTAAAGCTCTCTGGCTGTCCATCATCAGTCTCCCCAATCTCATAAACAGCTGCTTTTCTCTTCCTAGTCCCCATTTTGCTAATGACATCTTGACTCCTGGTCTTTAAAGTCCCTTATTGGCTAGACATTGCGGCCAGCTCATGCACCTCTCAAGTTCTTCTCCATTGCCCTATATGTGATACTCATTTTCAGTTCTTTAGAGACTTTTATTCTGTGTCACTGCCATATAGCAACACCAGCAGACTGAAGTTTGGGGGGGATTAAAGGAGTTTGACATATGTCTCCTGCTCAGCTCTAGCGCCGACTAATTTTCCATTTGTGCTCTCCTTCCCAGATATACGTACTGATGGAAAAGCTGCAGTTAGGTGGTAAAATGGATAGAGGGCTGGGCCTGGAGTTAGGAACATCTGAGTTTGAATCTGGGTCCTAGGTAAGTCACTTAACCCTTATTTGCCTCAGTTTCCTCAGCTGTAGAGTGGGTATAATAATAGCACCTACCACCCGTGCTAAGTTCTAGGAAAACGAAGAAAGGCCAAAATATCACTTACTTCTTACATTCTAATGGTGGAGACAACATGTAAGCAATGATGTGCCTCCAAGAGCTGCATAGAGCAAATGAGAGGTACTCTCAGGCAGGAAGGCATTTCCAGTGGGCAAGACTAGAAAAGGCTTCTCTCCTACACAAGGTGGGACCTAAGTTGAATCTTAAAGGAAGTCGGAGAAACTCAGAGGCAGAAGTGAGGGAGAGCATTGCAGGCATGGGGAGATGCCAGTGTAGCTGGATTATAGTAGAGTACATATGCAGAAGAGTGAGAGGCGCCATGTATAGCAAGGGGCCCATATGTATGGTGAGGACTGTCTTTGTGTGGCTTGTGGGGAAGCAGAATTGACATCTCTCTACCCCTCTCCTCTTTCCACCCTTCTCCAAGGAAGATTTTCATTCCTGCCAGGAGGGGAAGCAAGAAGTTGGGATCATAGGCCACCACTCTGCTCTCCTCAGAGAGAGGGCTACTGGGCTAGAATTATATCTCTCTGCTCCTTTAAATATTGTTCACCTAAGGGATATGAATGAGTTCAAGCTAACTTCTGTTCACTTGGTCATTTCTGGGGGGAAGGAGGACCCCCAAGCTCTATATACAAGGCTTGGGCCCTTTCCCACCAAATACCAGTTCCACAATGAACACACATAGCTAATAGCAAAGAAACTCATGTATCCAAATGATAGCAAAACAGAAACCAGAGAGGGTATATGTGGGAGAATATATATCAGACAATATAGAGTAAAAGAGCTCTCCCTTTGGAACAAGGTCAATCAAAAGACTGTCCTGGATCTCCCCCAAAGGGAAACTCCCTGAAGTCTCTAGAGTAGTGAGTTGGATATAGGGATATAATGGAGACTACCAGCTCCTCTCATGTCTTCCCACAGTCTTTTCCTTCGGCAACCGAAAGTGAAGTTGGCCTTGTCCATCTTCTCTCTTAAAGCTGGAAGCCAGGAGCTCCTGAAGTGACTTGACAATTGAAGAGTCCCCAAGAAGACTCAATGTTTGAAGAATCTCTAAAGGTAACTGGCCCTGAAGAGTCCTAAGGGAGAGACTGGCTGTAGCTCTCTCATCACCACCCATTCATTTCCACCACTAAGGAGAGAGTCTCATACCCATGGACTTTGGGACAGGAGCTACACATATATGGGAAGAAAAGGGAAGAAGACCAGAAAGGTAGGAAGGGCCCAGGTTGTGAAGTACTTTAAATGCCAATCAGAGAACTTTATATTTAATTTTAGGGTTAATAGGAAGTCATTGGATCTTACTGAGTTTTCAGGGGCTCCTTTACTTCACTATTCTGGAGTTTATTGAGTAGGGGACATAGATAGAACTATTCAGCAGAACTATAATCCTCAGTGAATCAGGACTCAGAGAAAGAGCCCAGGAAAAATTGGGAGTGGTGACTGTAGTTGTGGTTTGTCCTTCATTCTCCAAGAGGACCATGACATCATGAAGATGATGCCACGACTTGCAAGTTAATTGGATTTAAGTGAGGGAGAATTGTGCAAAGTCACCAGCCTCACTTTCTCCTCTGGAGCTATCTGGGTCCAGTGGCCAGATATAGATCAGGACAACTGGAGATGGCCCAGCGGGAGTGATGTCTGAGAATATCTGGAAGGGCCTGGCTAGTGTTTGAAAGCTGGGTAAAGATCACTGAGTAATGTGAAATGGTATTTGGGTCATCCTTCCACTTCACATGCCCATGTTCACTAAAGTTCAGCCATATACTTGAATGGACTGTGTGACCATTATAGGAATGTCAGTGACATGACTCTCTTGCCACTGCCAAGAGGAAGATATCCCCAGCTGCCAGAAGCAGATTCAGTATCAGATCAGTGCTGTGAACAGCTACTTCCAGCAATTTGCTATAGTCAACAGAGTTGCAATAGCACAGCTTGAATGACCCAGGGATTAAGGTAGGGGAGGAATGGGGCAGCATGAAGTCAGTGTGAGAAATTACTCAGCAGGAGTCATATTTCTCATCAGCTGCCAGGTCTACCAGAAGTAATTAGCATGGGGCTTTATCTACTCAGTTTAGGGAAGTCATTTAGTACAGATGATCTGATCACACCCTGTGTGCACCACCTCCCCCCCACCTCCCTGTTCCTTTTTTCCAGGCTGTTGAGAAAAGTTTTGGCACAGAACTCAGTGTGATTCAACAGCCTGGATGTTTATATATGGCCTTCTACTCAAAAGAATTTTCCCCCTGAAACATGTAGGATTCCTTCTAACTTGCACCCAATATCCTTGTAACCCATTTGTCCTCTCTGCAAAATGGGTTGCTTTGGATTTGATGTCTTACAATTCTCGGCACCATCTCTCACATCCTCATTCCTCTCCAGGTTCCACTCTTGACTCTCAGGATTTTTTCTGCCACGCCACAGTGGCTTCTCAGGGCCCTTCCTCTAACTTGTTGTTGTAGTTGTTTCATTGTTTTCAGTTGTGTCTGATTCTTCATGACCCCATTTGGGGTTTTCCTGAGATACTGGAGTGGTTTGACATTTCCCACTCCAGCTCATTTTACAGAAGAGGAAACTGAGACAGATAGGATTTGCCCAATGTCACACAGCTGGAAAGTGTCTGAGGTCAGATTTGAACTCAAATCTTCCTGACTCCAGGCCTGGCACCCTAACCCTAACCCTAAATGCGTGCCTCCAACTCTGACTCTAACCCTAACCCTAACCCTCCAACTCAAAATGTGCCACCTAGCTGATTGGTTACTCTCAAAACCTCTATTTTAAGAAAACTGCCCAATCTAGTAATGTCTTCATTCCTCTCTGAAGTTTTTCTACCTCCTCCCCCACCAATTTCCTTTTATGTATTATCATTCTTTATTATAATATAAGCTCCTTGAGGTCAGGGATTATTTAATAAATACTTGACTTGACTTCCTCAACTAGACCTAAGGAAGTATGAGCTTCAGAACCTCCCCTTATCCATTATTTATCTACTGTCAATGGAAAGCTTATGAGAAAGAAGACAGTATCTTCCCAAAGAGAAGTAGTCTGGAAAAGAAGAGTATGGTGATATTTCTGAAAGGGCATTAGAAGACCTAACTCTGTTTTACATAAACAATGTGACATCAAACAGGCTGAGGTCTTGGGGCACAGAAACAACTGAAGACAATGACCTGGTCAGTGACAAATCTATGGCACATTGTCAGCAACAGTTGTATCCTCTATGAGGGAGGAGTGGGAACAAGCAAGTATGAAGCCCCTACTATGTGCTAAATAAGTTACAAAGATCTCAGTTGATCCTCATGGTAACCTATGAGGTAGGTGCTGTTATTATTCTTGTTGGCCAGTTGAGGAAACTGCGGCAGACAGAAGTTAAATGACTTGCTCAGTGTCCAAAAGCTAGGAAATGTCTGAGACTGGATTTGAATTCTAGTCTTCCTGACTCCAAGCGCAGCTTATCCACTGTGACACCTAGGTACCTCTAATGACACCTGCCAAAGCCTTCTCTATTCTCTTAAATGTGCCTGTGTCAGAGATCTTGGTGTCCTGGATGTCAGAAGTTATTGGATCTTGACCTAACCTCTCAAGGTCTCAGTTTTCTTATCTATAAAATGGGGGAGTTGGATCGGATTGCCTATCAAGTCTCTTCTATAGCTAGCAAAGAGAGGAGAGAATAGAATAAAATCTGTTACCCTTTGGGTTCCCGTGCTCCGAGATTACCTCCCATTAATAATGTCGTATCTTGTATATACTACATATGCAATATCTTGTAGTTATTTGCATGTTGTTTCCCTCTTTAGAAGGTAAGCTCCTCGAGGGCAGGAACTGTGTTTTTGCCTTTCTTTGTATCCTCAGTGGTTAGCTTAGCACAGTGCCTTGGCATCTCTCTCTCTGTACGTATGTATACACACACACACACACACACACACACACACACACACACACACACACACACACACACACACACACAATGTATATATGGGGAGAGAAAGACAGTGAGAGCAAGAGAGAGAGAGAACTTAATAAATATTGACTGATCACCTAGAGTCTCTGATGGAGAAATTTCCTTGACTTTTACCCTCAGGTGTGGATGTGGGAAGAATGAAATAAAAGTCCAATTAATGGATGAGGCAGAGTCATTTATCCCATTTCATCATAGAATCCTCTGTCATGTCTTCCTTGGTCAGTCACATGGGAACAGAGCCAAGGAATCAGCCCCAGACAACAGACCTTTAATAGTTTGGGGAAGCTCTGTCCACTCAAAGGCATTTTCTCCTGAAGCTAAAGGAAGGTGAAATTAAAAAAAATTTTTTTTTTTGTTGAGTCAGTGTTTTTCTTTCTTCATTGGTTATGGACCTCTGTGAATCAGCCTGTAGTTCATTTGCATTAAGCCCATGTTGTAAATGTTGAACTAAGTAGGTGATGCTGAAAAGGATCAATTCTAAGACTGAGAGGCAGCTCTAAGAGTCTCTTTATGATGCATCTTGCATCTATCACTCATTCACTGAAATCTGTGTGTCTGGGTACTTCCCTAAGCAGGTCCAGAACAAATAGTCTTTTCATAAACTTAGAGCATGCTATCATTTGGATACATGAGTTTCTTTGCTATTAGCTATGTGTGTTCATTGTGGAACTGGTATTTGGTGGGAAAGGGCCCAAGCCTTGTATATAGAGCTTGGGGGTCCTCCTTCCCCCCAGAAATGACCAAGTGAACAGAAGTTAGCTTGAACTCATTCATATCCCTTAGGTGAACAATATTTAAAGGAGCAGAGAGATATAATTTCCACAGGGTAGAGGCTTACTTCTAATAGCATCTGCCCAGAACTGGTTTCATCTAACCCCCCTCCTGTTGGTCTTATATCATCTTATTTATATATTGATTGATTGAAGGCTATTAAGGTTAAGTAACTCACTCAGGGTCACACAACTAGTAAGTGTCTCAGGTCATATTTGAACTCAGATCCTCCTGACTCCAGGGCCAGCTCTATCCACTTCACCACCTAGCTGCCCCTAACCTTTATCCTGTCTTTTTTTCATGCTCCCACTTTCCTGTTTTGAAGTTCCATTCTTTTTTTTTTTTTGTATTTTGCTAGGCAATGGGGTTAAGTGACTTGCCCAGAGTCACACAGCCAATGAGTGTTAAGTGTCTGAGGCCAGATTTGAACTCAGGTCCTCCTGAATCCAGGGCCGGTGCTTTATCCACTGTGCCATCTCGCTGCCCCCGAAGTTCCATTCTTTATTTTTATTTTTATTTTTATTTATTTTTAATTTTTTTCCCATATGCTTTTGAGTTGAAAATTTTTTCTCCCTTTTTCTCCCCCCCCACCCTCCCCAAGACGGCGCTCAATCTGACATAGGCTTTACATTTACATACCCATTAAACATATTTTCACATTAGTGAAGTTGTAAGTAAAAATTAAAACCAATAGGAGGAACCATCAGAAAGATGAAACAAAACTCAACTGAAGGTAAAAATAAGTGAGAGCGATTCAACTTCCATAGTTCTTTCTTTGGATGTGGACAGCATTTTCCATCCCGAGGCCTCTGGAGATGTCTTAGATCCTCGTAATGCTGAGAAGGGTTCAGTTTAACATTCTTAGACATTGCTGTTATTGTATACAAAGTCCTCTTGGTTCTGCTCATGAAGTTCCATTCTTAATGACTCATGTGGGAGAAAACAATCTATACTTCACATTTTAGCCCAAATCTATGAGAGAAGATTTACTAATATACAAGCCTTTCTGCTTGGAGACAGATTCAGCTAATCAGAATCACTTTGCTTTTCCAAGCTTCCTACTTACATTTTAGAATAATTGTGAAACAAAAGATGAAATTTTATGAAGGAGAGATGCATTGTTTAAGTTTAGTATTCTTTTTAAATTTATTAAACAGAAAAATAGTAATGTTAGTATCAGTGCACCCTGATAGAAAGTATCTCCTGAAACCAGTTACTAAACCCTTTATAACTACTTTCAATCAGGTCCCTGGATTTGATTGCAGCTAGGTGGCACAGTGGATAGAGTGTCAGGCCTAGAAATCAGGAAGACCTGAGTTCAAATGTGGCATCAGACACTTACTAACTGTGGACAAGTCACTTAACCTTGTTTGCCTCAGTTTCCTCATCTGTAAAAGAATCTGGAGAAAGAAATAGCAAACCATTCCAGTATCCCAACCAAGAAAATACAACTGAACAACAAAAACAACAGAGCTGCCTGCTGTAGCAAGCAAAGAGGTACCTGCCCTAATTGGATTAAACAAAAACATATACCCACTGTCAGTTTGGTCACTGGCAAGACAAGATCTCTCTATTGATTTTAGGTTCAGGAAATTAGGATCTTTCCCAAAACCAATTAAGTCTTCTAATCAAGAAAGACTGATTAGGTGAGATCAAGAACCAGGACAATGTCTTATATTCTTTCTTAATGTTTTATAACATAACTGAGGCCTTTTGCTTCCTTATGAAACACAGGAATCTCTTTTTTTTTTCTTCTATATACTTCCAACAAAGAAAGATAAGCACCTGTAATTTACAATTTCCTTCCCTTCCTGAACAGAAAGGGTCCTTGTTTTACATAGTGGTTGAATTAACTACAGCTGATTCATAAGTAAGCATTGTACTGACTCAGCCTGGTATCCTTTTAAGTTTTAATTTCATACTTCTTGGGGTCAGAGCCAATTTTAAGAACGAGGGGCTACCTATAGGATATGATTTGATAGGTTGGGCCATCTGTCAAAAAAAATCAATCCCTCTGCCTGTCATTTCATCATTTAGAACTCATTCTATCCTAGGTCAGACATGGGGTGGTATTCTAGGGACATATTCTGTGTGCAGTATATGGGAGCAGGCTGGCAAACAGATTGGGATCAATGAATGAATATCTGGAATGGAGACAGGAAGATCGGGCACTGAGGCTGACTAATTAGAGGAGAGGATCAGGCAGGAGTTTGGTCAGGTGGACAGGAGGGAAAGAAAGGTGGTCAAGCCCCCAAAACTAAGCTGAAGATGGGAGAGATAGGCAGGAACAGACACAAAATAGTACAGTGGAAAGAATGCTAGATTTAGAGAGAGAGGGTTTGGGTTCAAGAGGCTCTCTCATGTGCTACCTGTATGATGTTGGACAAATCACTTAACTGCTCTAGGACTCAGTTTCCCCACCTGTAAAATAAAGCAGTGGGACCAGATAAACTTGAAGGTCCCTTCTGGCTCTAAATCTGTGGCCCCATCTAGTCAGGCAGCATTATTTACCAGAAAATGAACTGAACTTGGAGACGGAAGACATGGGTTCTACTCTTGGCCCTGCAATAAGCACATTTTTCCCAACTTCAGTTTCCTTATCTGTGAAATATTAAAGATCTTATCAAGCCACTTTTGAACCATAAGATCATATAAAAATATGAGTTGCCAGAATTGAAAAACAGTCCAGGAGGTCCAAGGTAGAATACAAAGTAGGAGAAACAAATGTATGATCAGTCAGCCTATGGGTGTCTGACCTGGAAGTCCCTACTGCAGAAGAGGTTCGACCTGGCCAAGGAGGCTGAGCAACCACGGAGATACTGAGGCCCAAAGAGGCAGTGGAAGGCTCAAGACTCACTGAGGACCTGGTGTAGCCATGGGTCGCTTTTTCTCAACTATTTTTTTCCCATCATTTGGAACTTGGGAGATGAGGATTTTTACTTTGGGATTAGATGGAGCAGGAAAAACAACAATTTCCTACAGATTGCAAACTGAGAAGTTGTTCACAGCTATTCTCACCATTGGTTTCAACGTTGAGAGAGTAACACACAAAATCCTTATTTCAGGTCTGGGATTTAGGAGGACAGACAAGTTCTAGTAGTGTTATTGCCCAAACACAGATGCAGTCATTTAGGCAGAAGTCATCTATTATGGAGACTGCATTAGATTACCTAAGCTAGGTGGCACAGTGGATAAAGTGCCAGGCTTACAGTCAGGAAAACCTGAGTTCAAATCTAGCCTCAGACACTCACTAAGTGACCCTAAGTGAGTCACTCAATCTTATTTGCTTCAGGTTTTGTTGTTTAGTTGTCCAACTCAGACATGACTGAAAACAACTGAACAACAACTCCAAAAGTCAGAGTTATTTGCCATGTTGGAGGAAGAAGAGCTAAGAAAAGCTACTATTTTAGTGGCTGCAAATAAGGAGGACCTGGAATAGGCCGTGACTCTTACAGAGAGAGCAAAGTCACTCCCAAGACAATCCTTTAGATATTTTAATACAACTTTTATGACATGTCTTTTTTTAAAAAAATTAGTTACATTACCTCAGGCTTTTCAACTTATATTGAAGTATTTATCCCCAAATCTTAATGTAAGGCACATTTACACATAGTGTAAGGCACCTTTAAGAAATGAGTCTGTTGGTTGATAAAAGGGGCAGGAAAGCACTTTGGGTTAAAGGAGAAGAAATAAACTGGAAAGAATGTAAAGTAATGCACCTGTCATAGGTAAACAGTTTGGTGGCAGAAAAAGCATTTTGTTTCATCAAATCCACATGTAAGGGAAATTTTCTGATAAGATGTGAGCAGTTTGGTTGCCAAAAGGAACAGAAAACTAATTTTTGCATAAATAAAAAGGACTAACTCATCTTGTAAAGGGTGTGAAATGACATCTCTTTCTGATGTGAATAGTTTGGGTGCTAAAAAAGGCAAGAAAAGAACTTTTAGATACTAAACACTTATAAAACACAAGGGTGAAGAAACTACTTTTAGAGACACAGAAGGTTAAAAGGACCAGTTTGAGGCTTGCAAAATGGTTGAGGCTGCCGCTCATTTTTGTAATGTAACTTTTTTTTTTAAGGATTAAGTTAAAAATTCCAAAATGACAAATAGCTGTTTGTAGACTATGAAATGATTAAATAAGGACCATTGGTTTTATAACCTATAGAAAAAGGCATGTACTTTTTGCTTTATAAGTATAAATATTACTTTATAAGGGAAAGGTGAATCTGAGTGGCAGGAGGCTCCGATTTGGGGTATTGACAGCAGTGAAGAACCAGGGGGAGTAAAGAACTGAGCAGATTGAGAAGATCACAGCAGGAAATGGAAAAAAAAAAGCAACACTGATGAAGCTTTATGAAAAGACCAGCAAGAAGGGAGTCCTGATGACAAGCCTTCAGCT